ACACTCCTATCAGAACACATGTGCCACCAGCTGCAACCCACCAGCTGAATGCTGCTAAAGGGATGGGGCTAGCAGCCCCTTACATGCCCATCTCAGCTATCCTGGGCTCTGTCCCCATGGGTGCCCACACCCCAAGCTTGCTCTCAGAGGAGTGCCAAGAATGCCAAGTAGTACTGCTGGGTGGGGAGGAGGAGAGTTGGCCATATCTCAGAGACACAGAGAATTCCATCCATGGGCACGTCTGAGGTCACATGATACCAAGAAGGTGCAACCAGAGACTAGAAGCCCAGCTCCCTCCCATACCAGACCAGGAATGTTCTGTATGTCTTCAGGGGAGGAACAGAAGGAGTCTGCAGCAGCCCTTAGGAATTTCAATTGTGTCCTGCACCCTCCACCCGGCCGCTTTGTGAGGGGATACTTGTCTAGAGCACTTTTAGACCCACGGGAGCAAACAGCTGAGACTTTGTGTGATGGTGACGCACTGACATTTCTGGGCCAGGCAAAACAACCCAGGCACTTTACTCTCTAAGCCTGTCCCTCACGTGGCTGGAAGGGGGAGTGGTATTTGTAGGACCCAAGGGAAACCAGGTCCAGCTCATCTTCACTGTCTCAGTGGGCAAGTGGCCTTGCCTTCCTGTGCCTCAGTTTTCTGAACTGTAAAGGGTGTAGGCATCACCTCTTTCATGGGGTGGGGGTGGGTTACCCAGCCGAGTCCAGCCCTTGGCATCCTCCTCAGAGCCTGGATATTACCATTGCCCATGACTAAAGCCTCTGGAGGCTGGAGCAGCACTCTCTCAGGTTAGCTGGTAGATAGGACTGTGATACCCTGCTCCATTACACAGATTGTAACTGTAACAGACTGTAACTACAACCTTTGCCAGTAGCCTTGCAAACAATAGCTTTCTTTTATTTGGGAAACTGAGATCAGGGGTTAAGATACCTGAGTCTAGACTGAACTCTTATCTCATGAGTCTAGATTGAACTATCTCCCTCATTTATTTACTGTGATTATAGGTGAGTTCCTTGCTATCGCTGTACTTTAATTTCTGTAGCTTTGTGTCTTAATTACGTGTGCATGTGTTTGTGCCAGAGTATACATGTGTGCTGGTTAGAGGACAACTGCTACCATGTGGGTCAAGGGATTGAACCTGGGTCATCAGGCTTGGCAGCAAGCACCTCTGCCAACGCCATCTTGCCAACCTTCTTTTTTTGTTTGTTTGTTTTCTGCTTTGCAACCAAAGTTTACCAGTATTCACTGGCTCTTTGCATAGCACTACTGAGAGCTAAGCTCTTTCTGCAGATTCAAGAACACAGGCTCTTTCTGTCTGCAAAAGCTCCACCCACTGTCCTTTCCTTCTCACAGCCTAAGAGTCGCCGGAACTTGTTTTGCTTTTAGACTTCTTCAGATGGCTTCATGAAATACTGGACTTGTGCCCTCTTAATCTGTCCTTGGCCACTGTCTTCATCAGTCCTTGGTGTGGCTGAGGACACTTGCACACACACAATTCCACAGAGATATACTTTGTAAGCATGCTGGAGGCTACAGTTGGGGTTGGCTCACCTTTCTGTCAGGACCCATGAAAAGGAGTCCATTTCATTTTGACTTAAGGTCAGAGAGTTCAAAAATGTCCTTATGTCTTTAAGTCTATAACTTGATCACTACAGGATGTTTTGGCTTTGGTAGTGAATGTCTCTTATCTAAATAACAACAGACTTGGGCCCAGGTGTGTTTGCTCTCGACCCTGAAGGCAGGATAGCATGTGTGGTTACCAAATAACCTGGAGGATTGAGGGAAGTGAGCCATTTTGCCCTTTATTCATGATAATAGAAGTCTTCTGCCATTTTGTCCCCACTGTTGGATAAATACTTATGATTGTGAAAGAATAAACTAGGGGTGCATTCAGTAAGAATTGAATGTGCCTCCTGACAGCTATCCTGTGTCTCTGTCTTGGATTCATAACCCCTTTAGCTAGCCTTTCTCTCATTTACACCCTCTTCTCTCTGGTAGGAACTGTGGGCTGGTAGGCGGGCTCCAACTGCAGCCCTGCAAAGACCGCTTCCCACACCTTTTCTCCTTCATACCTATCAACCCAGTGAAAGGGGAAAGGTGTTTGTCTAGATAGGCATTGGAATAGTGAATAGCAGCCAAGTTAAGGAAAGACGAAGAGGATGACACCAATTTGACTTCTGACCCACTGATTCCATTCAGGGTGTGAGAAAGAACCACGGAGCACTCCAACACTAGATGGAGTGACTGCGCTATGGTGAATTATTAGTCACTGTTGTGATAGTTTGAGTCTGAAGTGTCCCCTCCAGGCTCATATTTTGAATGCTCAGTTCCCTAGTTGGTGACAATACCTTGGGAGGCTCTAGAACCGAGGGAGGTGACACCTGGTTGGCAGAATTACATTATTAGCATGAGTCCTTCTACTTTGGCTGGCTCCCTGTCCCCAGGTGCACCACAATGTGAACTGCTGTGCACACTCCCAGACAGCCACTCTACCCTCTCTTCCCTGCCATGATGGGCCTTTCTTCCCTTGAGTCATCTTTTTCAGTATTTTAGTCACAATAGTGTAAAAGTAACTGATGCACAGCACATGGAGGAGATTTTGGCTCAGTGATCAGACATGAAGGCTGAGGCCTGGGTTTACATTGGTTCTGGTGAGACTTACCTAGAGCAGAGCTGGCTGAGCACATCATGGAGTTGCAAACCTGAAGTCTCTCCTCTAACTCAGCCATCAATAGAAGAAAATCGACAGCATCATAAGGTGTGTGTGTGTGAGAGAGAGAGATACCAGTCTACAAGGACAGCCTCAGGGCTGGAGAGATGGCTCAGCAGGTAAAGACACTTGCTGTCTAGTCTGACTACTCCTGAGTTCGATCCCCAGGACATACATGGTAGAAAGAAAGAACTGACATGCTATGGTATACAACCCTCCTGAGCCAACTCAGAAAGTGGGTCAGCTGGGAATTCCTCTATAGCCTATTCTTGGGCCTGGCATGGGGCCAGCTTTGGGGTTGTTGCTGAGTTTTCCTGCTATGGCTCCATCCATCTGTAGCAGGGGCACCACCCTATATAACTGGTTACCAGCGTACTAGCTTCTGAGAGCCACAATGTGCCACAATGTGTGTGTGGGGGTGGGTGGGGTCCACCATTTACTGTGCCTTCTACTGTATTTGGCAGGTGGGCTTTCCCCACCCTTAATACAACCACACCTCTACTCAGATAGTATCTACCAAATGCAGGATGAAGTCCTATGTATTTGTATACATGGACTGAACACTTGCTATTCACCCAATGAAGTGTTTATGATATACCACATTGTGCAGGGACTGAGGCCCAGAGATGACAAAAGTCTCAGGTACCCTGGTTCCCTCTGCTTGGCCTTTGGTTCCCAAACCTCCTAAGCACCTATTTTTCAAACTCCTATGCATAAGCCCCACACTGTGGTTTCTTCTCCATCATCTACCAGAGCAGTGGTTCTTAACTCCTGAGACTCTTTACTACAGCTCCCCATGTTGTAGTGACCCAACCATAAAATTACTTTGTTGCTACTTCATAACTGTAATTTAGCTACTGTTATGAATCATAATGTAAATAGTTTTGGAGATAGAGGTTTAACAAAGGGGTCATGACCCACAGGTTGAGAACCAATGCTCTAAAAACTTTTGGCTCCCAACCTGAGCAACAAACTCTAGGATACATCGACAGACTGGAACTCAAGGTGTAGTGTAAAAACAGGGGACATGCAGCTAGTGCTAAGCTGAGAAATGAATTAATTAGGGAAGCCAAAGGGGATCATACACACACACACACACACACACACACACACACACACACACACACACACAAAGCTCTCAGATAGCAGAGACTAGATCAACAAAATTTGAGTCTAGCAAGGGCCACATATCAAGACCCCTGTCTCAAAGAACAGAACAATAAAAATTTGTCATGATCATGAAAAACAAGAGGAGATGGGATGCTAGCAGAGAGAGAGAGAGAGAGAGAGATTCTATCTAACTCAGTGGAATGTGGATTGTATTTGGATTCTGGACCAAAATGAGGAAGTGGATGAAAAACCCTGTGTAATCTAATAAACTCTAGAATTTAGTTAGTTGAAATGTGTGGATATTAACATCTAGGTTTTGGCAAATTCTCTATAACATCTAAGATGGCAGTAATCAGAGAGCTGAGTGTGGTGGCCCAGCCTTTTGTCTCAGCACTGGGAGTCACAGGCAGGAGCATCTGTGAGTTGAAGACTAGCCCAGGCTACAGTGAGACTGTCACAAGGAAAAGAAAGAAAATTCAGGTAAACCATGTGACTAGCAGCATTCGGAGTTATAGGGTTGTGAACCACCATGTGGATCCTGGGAATCCTCTACAGAACAGTAAGTGCTCTTAGCTGCTGAGCCAGCTCTCCAGCCCTGATAGCACAGCCTTCTCCAGGATAGCTGGCTTGTGTGCTTCCTGGCTATACTGTTTCTGCCTCCCTTCCAGCTGTGAGAGGCTGATTCTAGAGATATGCTCCCTTTCATCTAGCATTTTAACATAGGTCCTGGCTATCAAGCTCAGCCGTCAGGTTTGTGCTACAATGGCTCAGCAGCTGAGCCACCTCTGCCCAACTCTTACTGTTGCTCTTGTCCATATAATCTGAAACTACTAGGAAACGAACCTGTACCTTAAGCATAATTAAGTCACCACCGAGCCTGATCGATACCCAACTCATATTCTCAATTACTGAATAGTGAGGAAAGGAAGGACAGAGGGGAACAGAGGAGAGAAGAGGGAGGAGGAAGCCTCTTGCGGTCCTGGGGATGCCCCAGGGCTCCAGGCTCTGTCCTTGAGGAATCCTGCCCTATCTCCTAGGACCTCCCACCAAGGCATCAACCCTAGTAACTAGCTCAAAAAGCTTTGATTTACATCGGTTCTGGAGCATCACATTTTCATGAAGACAGGAAAGGGAGAAAACGACTCTTTTATTTTCTTTTTTCAGCTTTTTCCAACGTTATGCCATTTAACACACCGGTGCAAAGCAGGAGCCTGGACAGGAACCAGACATAGAGCCTCCACAGATCGATGAGCTCCCACATGGGGCGGAACCGCTGCAAGAGGCGGGGCCACAACAAGGGGCGGGACCTCCACAAAGTGCTGAGCCGCCGCAAGAGGAGGATCTGCCGCAGGGGGCGGGGCTGACACAAGGGGCGAGGCTGGCGCAAGGGCCTGCGCAGATGCCAGCACAAGTGTAGCCCACCAGGCGGGGCGTGCTGGGGAAGGTCTTGCGCATGCGCATGCACTTCTCCTTGTCGATGCATAAGGTGTTGGCTTTGATGGCCAGCTCGTGCTCCAGCCGCGACTTGGTCATCACCAGTAGCTGCAGTGTGTCTTGCGTCTCTCGAAGCCTCAGCTTGAGCGTCTGTAGAGTGTCGTCTATGGTGAAGACCTCGTTCACGAGCCTGGGTTGAGACAGAGAGAGACCCCCGTGACACTTTTCAGCACACGCACCCCTGGTGCGATGGGGATGGTGCCTAGGGTGGCCATAGCAATGCAGTCCTCAACCCGGAGGGGAGGACAGGTGATCGAGCACCCTTGGGAAGGTCGTCCAGGCTGACAAAGCATGAAGGAGGCAACAGAAGGGACTTAGGGCAGAGTCTGACAATAATTTAACCATGGCCCCCATGGCTGGTAGTTCCACCCCCCCACCCCCAGTCTCCCCATCCCCCCACCCCACCCCACCCCCGCTTCTCCAACCTGACCTGAAAACAGGTGTTCGCACTAACTGTTCACAACAGTGCTGTCTATCATGGCCCAGAAGAAAACTGTGAAAACTGTTCAATGTAATTCACGTGCATTTTTGTCTCTGAGATGATGTCATTATATGACATTGTCTCCAGCTCAAGCTGTCTAAGTCACTCGAGCATGCCTGGTCTATTATGTGACTTGTTTTGCCTTGCTATCCCCCCACTCCACTTCTCTTTCCCTTTCCTGTCCTGGTCTCACATAGTCCATGTTGACCTCAAAATCTCTACACAGCCAAGGGTGACACCTCATCCTCCTTCCCCTCCCAAGTGCTAAGATTATAGACATGAGTCCTGTTCTCTCAAGTATATTGTTTTTTTTTTTTTTTTTTTTTTTTGTTTTTGTTTTTTTGTTTTGGTTTAGGGTTTTCAAGAAACGGTTCCTCTGTGTAGGCAGGCTGTCCTGGAACTCACTCTGTAAGACGAGGCTGGCCTTTAACTCAGAGATCCATCTGCTTCTGCCCCCCAAATGCTGGGATTAAAGGCATGTGTCACCACCGCTTGGCAATGTCAGGTAGATTTTAAATGAGGGTTGGCTACTTTGAAAATATGGTTTCTGCTCATAACACACAGGGGCTAGCCTCATTTACATAAGAGATCAGGAGCATGGAGGCTTTTGTTCAGGTCTCTTTTCCAGCTGGAACACACATTCTTGCTGTATTAGCTCCTCTGGCTCATAGGTCCACATCTCAGAGAATTATGGCTCCTAACCAATGGAAGCCACCTGCCCTGAAAGAAAGCCCCTCCCAGAAACCCATAGGCATTGCCAACTGATGCAGGCACTGAAGATTCACAGCCATACGGTGAAAAGATCCCTGTAGTGGTCTGTGTGCCTCAGAGACATGGGGGAGGTGGATCTGAGGCCAGTCTGCATATTGTCCCACACCTTAAACCATCTGCCCAGGCTCTGCCTCTGCATGCAGAACTTTCCAAAAGTACTGGAAGAGGCTCTTAGGGGGGAGTTTGAAGTACAGAAAAAAAAAAAAAAGGTGAGAATGAATGGACCATGTGGGAAACAAGGAGGAAAATTCTACAGCAATACTGAAAGAGGGAGCCACATGGAGCTGACGAACATTTGAAATGTGACCTCTTGATTCAGAAGCTGATTTAAAAAACAAAAACAAAAACAAAAACCTCTACTCATTCAATTCAGTCTACATTTGAAATTGAACTTTAAAACCTTTTAAAGACAAGGCCTCATGTCTAGCTAGCCTCAAACTCTATGTAGCCAAGGATGACCCTAAACATCAGGTTCTCCTGCCTCTGCCTCCTTAGCATTCTGTGCAGTCTCTGGGTGCTGGGGACCAGATGCTCCTTCTCTCCTGTTGCCACAGAAGCAAGTCTACTTAGCTAGCAGGGTAAGGGGGATCTAGCCAGCCTGGAAGGACTTGGGCTCTTTGCAAAGACAGAGGCCAGAGATGAACAGGGATGCAAGCAGACACCCTCCCCATCAGATCCTGGAGTGAGAGATGCTGAGGGAACCAGGGGCCAAAGATGTGTCTGTCTCTGCTGCTAATGTCTTCTTGGCCTTTCAGAGGAAGCAGGAGGGTGCTGGGGAGTGGGAGCTTCAGACACAGAGAGAGAGAGAGAGAGAGAGAGAGAGAGAGAGAGAGAGAGAGAGAGAGAGAGAGAGAGGAGAGAGAGAATTGGGGTAGAACCATAACTTAGACCTCCATCCAGCTCATAGCTGAGATCTGGGACTGGGTATCCTGGTTCAAGTAGGGTCTAGTTCTCAGACTCAGGGTTCCAACTGCAACCATCCAGAGAGGACTGAAGACATTATAAAGAGATGCTGCATCCCTCACTTTGGCTACCACATGAGCCCCAAGAAACTGAAGTCCCCCCCACCCCAGCCGTCCATGATAAGGGAAGAGGCTAAAAACAGGAGTACAGGAGAGTTCACACAGTTCTAATAATCTTATCAGACCATCTTGCAGGAGAGATTGGAGCTCAATGATGGGTGAGATCTGGCCAAGACCAAGGCTGCTATGTAGTCCTCTTGTACTCTAAACCTAAACCTCACATCAGGACCCAGAAGATGGATTGGGGGGGGGGGGTGGAAATGGACCACACTTTATAACTCTCCTGTCTAATTGGCCTGTTAGATGAGTAGACAAACTGAGCTTGTTAGAACTGGCAGGGACAGCCCAGGCCCCGATACCCACAACTCCAGTAACAGTGACTCTTCTGAGACCCCACTCCTCTCTTCCTGGACCCCAGTAGTCCCATTTCACTTCACTCACTTGAACTGTGGTATGTCCCTGCAGAGCTCCACATTGGGCCGTCGGGTCCTGCATGCCAGCCTGGTCTGGGCCACCTTCAGTGGGCACTCCTTGGCCATGATGGCTCTCTCCAGCAGCATCATAGTGTTCTCTGCCTGGAAGATCTCCTGCAGTGTCTGTGGGGACCAGGAGACTGTCACACACCCCAGAATTTTCTCACCTCCTCCTCCTTTGGGGAAATCAGGGAGCTAAAGTGGGGAGGGGGCTCTAATCTAGTCTCTAAACTCTTCCTTCCCTGACTGGGATGACCTTGAGAAGCTGTTGTCACTACTGCTTGTTACCACGACACTGAGTGCTGGTGCTGGACCAGTACCAAGACGAATTTTGTTTTTGACCTCAGCTAGAGTTCGGTGGGAAGAGGGGGAAGAGGGAATGGGGGGAATAAGGGAGGGAAGAAGGGAGAGGGAGGGGAGGAGAAAGGAAGAAAGGGGAAAGGAAAAGAAAAGGAAGAAAGAAGAGGGAAGGAAGTGTGTGTGTGTGTGTGTGTGAGTGGTGTGTGTGTGAGTGGTGTGTGTGTGAGTGGTGTATGAGCGTGAGTGGTGTGTGTGAGTGAGTGGTGTGTGAGTGTGTGTGTGAGTGGTGTGTGTGTGAGTGGTGTGTGTGTGTGTGGTGTGTGTGAGTGGTGTGTGAGTGTGAGTGGTGTGTGTGTGAGTGGTGTGTGTGTGTGAGTGGTGTGTGTGTGAGTGGTGTGTGAGCGTGAGTGGTGTGTGTGTGTGAGTGGTGTGTGAGTGTGTGTGTGAGTGTGGGGTGTGTGTGTGAGTGGTGTGTGTGTGAGTGGTGTGTGTGTGAGTGGTGTGTGTGTGTGAGTGTGGGGTGTGAGTGTGGGTGTGTGAGTAGTGTGAGTGTGGGGTGTGTGTGTGTGTGAGTGGTGTGTGAGTGTGGGGTGTGTGTGTGAGTGGTGGTGTGTGTGTGTGGTGTGTGTGTGTGAGTGGTGGTGTGTGAGTGTGAGTGGTGGTGTGTGAGTGGTGTGTGAGTGTGGGGTGTGTGTGAGTGGTGTGGGTGTGAGTGGTGTGAGTGGTGTGGGGTGTGTGTGTGTGTGAGTGGTGTGTGAGTGTGGGGTGTGTGTGTGTGTGGGTGTGTGAGTGTGGGGTGTGTGTGTGAGGGGGTGTGGGGTGTGAGGTGGGGTGTGTGGTGTGGGTGTGTGAGGTGTGAGTGGTGTGTGTGTGTGAGTGGTGTGTGAGTGGGGTGTGTGTGTGTGAGTGGTGGTGTGTGAGTGTGGGGTGTGAGTGTGTGAGTAGTGTGAGTGTGGGGGGTGTGTGTGTGAGTGGTGTGTGAGTGTGGGGTGTGTGTGTGAGTGGTGTGTGAGTGTGGGGTGTGTGTGTGAGTGGTGTGTGTGTGTGAGTGGTGTGTGAGTGTGGGGTGTGTGTGTGAGTGGTGTGTGAGTGTGAGTGGTGTGTGAGTGTGGGGGTGTGTGTGTGAGTGTGTGTGAGTGTGTGTGTGAGTGGTGTGTGAGGGGGGTGTGAGTGGGTGTGTGTGTGAGTGGTGTGTGAGTGTGGGGTGTGTGTGTGTGAGTGGTGTGTGTGTGGGGTGTGTGTGTGTGACTGGTGTGTGTGTGTGAGTGGTGTGTGTGTGGTGTGTGAGTGTGAGTGGTGTGTGAGTGTGGGGTGTGTGTGAGTGGTGTGTGTATATGTGTGAGTGGTGGGTGAGTGGTGTGTGAGTGTGGGGTGTGTGTGTGTGAGTGGTGTGAGTGTGGGGTGTGTGTGTGAGTGGTGTGTGAGTGTGGGGTGTGTGTGTGTGAATGGTGTGTGAGTGTGGGGTGTGTGTGTGAGTGGTGTGTGAGTGTGGGGTGTGAGTGGTGTGTGTGTGTGAGTGGTGTGTGTGTGTGGGGTGTGTGTGTGAGTGGTGTGTGTGTGAGTGGTGTGTGTGTGAGTGGTGTGTGAGTGTGGGGTGTGTGTGTGTGGGTGTGTGTGTGGTGTGTGTGTGAGTGGTGTGTGAGCGTGAGTGGTGTGTGTGTGTGTGACTGGTGTGTGTGTGTGGTGTGTGAGTGTGGGGTGTGTGTGTGTGAGTGGTGTGAGTGTGGGGTGTGTGTGTGTGAGGGGTGTGTGAGTGTGGGGTGTGTGTGTGAGGGGTGTGTGAGTGTGGGGTGTGTGTGTGAGTGGTGTGTGAGTGTGTGTGAGTGGTGTGTGTGTGAGTGGTGTGTGTGTGAGTGTGGGGTGTGAGTGTGTGAGTAGTGTGAGTGTGGGGTGTGTGTGTGAGTGGTGTGTGAGTGTGGGGTGTGTGTGTGAGTGGTGTGTGAGTGTGGGGTGTGTGTGTGAGTGTGTGTGTGTGTGTGGTGTGAGTGGTGTGTGTGTGTGAGTGGTGTGTGTGTGTGGGGTGTGAGTGTGTGTAGTGTGAGTGTGGTGTGTGTGTGTGAGTGTGTGTGTGTGTGGGGTGTGTGTGTGAGTGTGTGTGTGTGAGTGGTGTGTGAGTGTGGGGTGTGTGTGTGAGTGGTGTGTGTGTGTGAGTGGTGTGTGAGTGTGGGGTGTGAGTGTGTGAGTAGTGAGTGTGGTGTGTGTGTGTGAGGGGTGTGTGTGTGTGGGGTGTGTGTGTGTGAGTGGTGTGTGAGTGTGGGGTGTGTGTGTGTGACTGGTGTGTGTGTGTGAGTGGTGTGTGAGTGTGAGGGGTGTGTGTGTGTGAGTGGTGTGTGAGTGTGGGGTGTGTGTGAGTGGTGTGTGTATATGTGTGAGTGGTGGGTGAGTGGTGTGTGAGTGTGGGGTGTGTGTGTGAGTGGTGTGAGTGTGGTGTGTGTGTGTGAGTGGTGTGTGAGTGTGGGGTGTGAGTGGTGTGTGTGTGTGAGTGTGTGTGTGAGTGTGGGGTGTGTGTGTGAGTGGTGTGTGAGTGTGGGGTGTGTGTGTGAGTGGTGTGTGTGTGAGTGGTGTGTGAGCGTGAGTGGTGCATGTGTGTGAGTGGTGTGTGTGTGAGTGGTGTGTGTGTGAGTGGTGTGTGTGTGTGTGAGTGGTGTGTGTGTGAGTGGTGTGTGTGTGAGTGGTGTGTGAGTGTGGGGTGTGTGTGTGGGGTGTGTGTGTGAGTGGTGTGTGTGTGGTGTGTGTGTGAGTGGTGTGTGAGTGTGGGGTGTGTGTGTGAGTGGTGTGTGTGTGAGTGGTGTGTGAGTGTGGGGTGTATGTGTGTTGGGGGGTGTTTTCTAAAATCTCTTCATAAAAACAGCTTTCCCCATATGATGCTGCCATTGTTCCATTCTGCGGAAATGTGGATCTCAGCAGAGATAGAAGGGTCCATGTCCTGATGTGCACAGAGGTTTCAGAGGTGTGAAACTAAAGACATCTCATCAAAGCTCAGGCTGCTCAGTTTTTTATCAGATTGTTACATATCAGTAGAAAGGTCGGGGTATGGCTCCTGCATGCGTGAAAACATTTGAGAAAGGCCACATAGGAAAATATTGTTGAAGAGCTGACATTGATGCTGGGTTCATGGAAGTCATTTTTATGTCTTTCTAAACTTCTGTTTTTGAAATTTTCCACAATGGAAAAAAGTAAAAGAACATGAACTGGAAATGTATGTACAGAGCTCTGGCTTCCATCCCCAGTACCACATAAAATGGTGTGCGAGCACACTCCTCTACCCCAGCACTCAGGAGATGGAGGCAAGGAGATCAGAAGCTCAAGGATATCTTAGCTATAAAGTAAATTTGAGACAAGCTAAAAAATTAATACACAAATAAAAATAATATAAGCTAATGTGTGTGTGTGGTAATAAAGAATAGGCATACCAGACTAGTCTATTACTGAAGGAACTTGAACTTGCCAAGGCCATTCCTAGCCTGGCTTGGACTGAGCAGATGGTAGTACCTGCAATCTTCCCACTGGTGGAAACAACCACTGTCCACCCTCAGTCACCAGCAGTCCTATTCCTAAGTGCAGCTATTCCCCATGGAATAGTAGTGTGTGTGTTGCAGCAGAGTAGCCAACTGTTGCCACTCTCCAAAGTGTTGATACATGGAAACCCTCTCATGGTGTGCTGGCTGTGGAAGGTGGGATATTTGGAGATTGACTAGCTCACTTTTCTATCATGCAAGAAACAACAGTTTTCTTATCCATCAGACCTTGGCCAGGCTGGCTTTTTGATGCAGGCCTCCCAAATTGTGACTTTGATCATTTGGGTATGATTTTGTTTCTTCGTTTTGTTTTGACATAGGGTCTTACTATGTATACTGGCTAGCCTGGAGCTCACAGTCCTCCTGTTTTAGTCTCCCAAAGGCTGGGAATATAGCATGTGCCACTGCACCTGTGTAAAATCCACCATTTATGAAGGACCTAGTCTATGGTACCTTATAACAAGAGCCTAAACAGTCTAAGACATGTCCCAGTGATGGCCTGGGACACAGTCTAACATTCAGATGTAACATGGTATCTTGTGTTTTCATTTGCTAAATTTGAGACATCCACTCAGCATGCAGACTAAAGGAAGGAGGATGGGTGTGGAAGTCTAGAACTGTCGCCAATGATTCCCTCCTGTCTGTTTTTATTTAAGCGAGGTCATAGTATACATCCAGGATTAGCCTCTGGCTGGCAGCCTCCTGCATCAGTCTCTGCAGGGTTGGATTACAGCCATATTCCTGCCACTATATGGTGTCTTCCCCACCCATCCTCTTAAAGGCAACCTCACTATGTAGTCCAGGCTTCCCTCAAATCAAGACAATCCTCCTGCCTCAGCCTTTAGGGAGCTAGAATTACAAGCATGTGCTAGTATGCTGGCCTATTAACTGTCACTTCTAAACAAATTATCAGTTTAAAGGTTGAGGCTTATTTGAACTACTTAAACTGAGATGCACAGTAGTTAATAATACAGACAGATGTGGTAAAGTCAGTAAAAGTGGCTGGGATAGCTGAAGCTGGGACCCTTTTCATGTGTACACAAGTAAGGCAGGAACAGTATATGTCAGTGGTGACACATGGGACAAAGGTGTGAGCCACAGGAGGGTGTGTGGAATTGCTTTTCTCCTATCCCCTTCTGTCCTTCCCTTCCTCAGGCTCCAGCCTGGAGCCTGTGGTTGCTCATTTCTTCACATCTTCACATGCCTTCCCCCCTGCTGGCTGTATGTCTTGATCAGACCTGTCTGTGGGTTTTCCAGAACACTGGGGTTTTCCAGAACCTTCTGCTACAGCCCACTGATGATTCA